TCACAACGGAGCTCTCAATTCTCTGATCTAAACGTGATCAGAGAAGTACACTGCTTCTTGGAGTTCTGAGGTACGTTTTGTTTGCTGTATTCATTGGGCCTTAGGAAAAGAGCACAACATCAAGCTGGTAACATGGTGCTTTGATCGATACTGAAACGTCTTCATAGAGTTAGACTTTGGTAATTTATATGATTCCGATATGTTGCGAATTACTGTAGGTTGCTCATTTGTTGAAGAGTGTCGTCAAATTAACAGTATCTTTCAGACAATGGGTTTCATCTCTCTGACCTTTTTACAGTTAAGCCACGTCAAAATTCATAGAATATCTCACTATAACTGCTCAGCAATGATTAAGATGTACCCAAATTGTGACCTACTTATCATCAACTGCTCAAAGTTCAACTGTGATGCTTGAATACAGGTACCTGTTGTTACTCTTGGCTTTTGAACTTTGACATGACCAAACCTATCAATCACCAACCCATCAGTTTTCCAGACTTTTCACTTTGAGTCGCACAGCCTAGTTCATTATTTCTGCATCATGTAGTGTATGTCTTTCATGATAGATTCACGCTGATGTTATCTTGACGAGTATGAATCGACCGTTGTTGATGCTCATTGGGTCTTTGTAAATGAAGTCATCCAGTCCTGCCACATTGCGCTGATTCCACATGCAATGCATAGTTGTTTGCTTATTTGTATATGACAAAGAGCTATACTTCTTGTACTTTAAATCCACTCTCTATGAATCAAAGCTGTTGTCATTGAACGTTGGGGAAGTAGTTGTCATTGATGCGTTGCTATGGTTTCACATTTGCTGACTGCGACCATCCGAACATCAAAATTGAGCGGGGTTGAGAAAAAACATCAACAAAGCAAGGGGACTTACTTATATCAACGCACTTTTTCCATTGGCAGTTCAAGCATTGAGTCTTTGGAAGATGATGGTTTTAGGATGGAATGCTGCTACGTATCACATGAGGTTATTCCAAATGATTTGAAAGGCTTTGAGTGACTGTGAAAGTCGCAACAACAGCGCTAGAGGAAGAGATGAGAGTTTTAAAGATCTCAACTATTGTACAAGAATTTGTCTTCCAATGAGAGCTTTGAAGTTTGACACGTTTATCAATGGATCATATGGACCACCGTGATTACTTTTCTACGCAAGGAACTGGGTAAAAAACTACCACTCTGTCTCATGCATAAAGTATAGAGAGGTCTCCTTGGCTGAAGATTCTAACAGCTAGGGATCAACACATCTATGTATTTGAATTGGCATTTCCATTGGTTCTCAACAAGAACAACTTGATGAAGTGTACACAGTGATTGTATAGATATCATTGTCTTTCCACTTTCTGCGATTTGATGGTACTTCTTGGTATTGATTTGTATTTCGTTGTCTGTGAAACGCAAACTTGATATGGGTCGTGAAATAGCGAAGTCTTATACGACACAATTGGCATATCAAGTACACATCAGCAATGACACATTAGTGAAGGCATGTCTATGTTTTGTGATTGGTGTGGAAGCTTTCTCATCACTCTTCACTTAGCTACACCAAGTTCCAATCAGACTTGATTATGTTCACCGTGATTCATGATGACACTTATATTCTCACAACTCAAGCTCAAGAACATTTGTGCACTTCTCATGGATGGTTCTCCCAGAGCTGAACTATAGTATGAACTCTGTCTGAATGTTGTACAATATGTTGCCGAAGAGTTTTGTATGCTACCTGGAGATAATGATTGTCGCAATAATTTATCAAGGTGATCTCTCAACACAATACAAACCCTAGATAGGCCACCCCAATACTCATCCACGATTCTATGGAAAAGGAGG